TGTTACAGTGAGCTGAGCTCATTTTGCGGCCAAGGATTTATGCAGAACAAGGCAGGCCTGTCCCTGTGCAGGTTAACTGCTATGTGAATCACTAGCTCCCAGATGTGTAATGGTCTCCTGGTCAGGATCAATAAATGGGGTTAGTTATGGCTTTTTTGGTCAGAGAAGGCAATCAAACCTTTAACATCCCTTTTCACTATTTTCTTAGACTCAGTAAGGCTGGAAATTGATCAAAAAAGCATACAGTTTTGAATAAATACAAGTTTAGTCATTAATTATTAAATTATTAATTATTAAATTATTAATTAAAAAATTCATCTTCTAAATAAATTGAGTTCAACTGTAGCTGAAATATTTTGAGCGGAAAGAAATGGACATCACTTTAGCCAATGAAGTTTTGCAGAGTCAAGTAGCATGATCAATGACATCTGGTGAAACAATCAACTAAAGCCATTTAAGAGAAAATGGCTAGAGAAAGAGACAAATAATCAGAGTCTTAACTATCAGAGTTGAAAAGCTAAATACATGTAAATAATTGAAAGGGGAAATTTAAGTGTGTGTGCAGGTACCTTTTGTATATCAAAGCAGAAGACCAAGAGTTTATACATGTTTCAGAATACAAATACAGGAAAGATATAGTTGCTTTGCTGAAGGATTGAAAGTGGTGAAAGAACTGGAAAATGGGAGTGCTAGAGGACTGCAAACATACTGGATTCATAGAGATGGCTCAGGAAAGCAGCACCTTTGAGGGAGGTAAGGTGCCTTGGTAGACAGGCATGCTAAAGCCATGGAACAGATAATGAGCATCGCCTACAACACACCCCTCCTGATGGTGATATTAGGAGGATCTTCAAGAGATTTCTTTGTTCCTCTCCCATGAGTTTTGCTAATATTCTGGCCTGAGGTACCTATATGAAATAACCCAATGCCATTGTAAATGCTTATTATACACTGGCACTGCAATAACTGAACTATCCAGTTATTGATAGGGTAGAAAAAAGTAGGAGCTACTAGGTATGTGTGTGGTTTAAAAGGATGACATAAGCCCCCTGCCTGACTATTTTCGATGTGTGCAGAAGTCCAGTTTTAAAGGATTTACTGGAACTGAGAATGTACATTGTTGATGTGACATTCTGAGATTCTCTTCTCCATGTCTGTTCTGTGAAATGATTTTTGAGTATGGTGAGGAAAAAAACAGATTTTTTAATCTATTGCTAAGCTATGCTGCAGGCAGATGGGAGTATTTCTTGAAACAGAAAATGGCTGTAATAAACAAGGAAATATAGATGAGGCTAATCATGATGGTTTCCATCAGGTCTGTCAGTCCTGCACTTATTGCCTGATTTATCAGAACAATATGGATGTTTCCTTTTCCCTAGGACATCTGGTTTGCAGAGTAGTTGGTGGGTAATAATTGATTATGAAAATTTTAGTTAATTTTAAAACAGGAAAATTCCAACCAGTAATATTTTTGAAAAGTAAATTGTTTACATGAACAAGCACTGGGGCAGTTTATCATACCTTATATATGCCTAATCGATGATTGTTCTTCCATATAGATTCCAGTGCTGCAGTTAATCCCATTTAGGAATCTTTTACTCTGATTTGTTATTGATCATAATGGTTTTTATACAGCCATTGCTCCTCCTTCATCCAGGAATCCATCTGAGAGATGGGCCCAAACCACAGATTTGAGACTCATATTTGAGTCTTGCCTCCTTTCTTCTATTCACTGTGAGAGCTTTTTCCATAAGGCTACATCCCACTAGCCACACATAGTAATAGTTTTGACCAATGCAGAAGCAAATAAGAGATGTGATATAGAAGGTTTGTGTTACAGGCAGTTGCAGAGACAGCTTTTCTGTTGGGACATGGATGGAGTGTCAGCAAGAAATATATCCCCTGTTCATTCCACACTTCCTAGTGTTATCCCATGCACTGATAGGAACTGATAGAGCACAGATGAAAAGAACTGTCAATAAAGGAATAGACTATCAAGACTTGCCTCTTGCCTCCAATAATGGTCTTTTCTAAATGTTTCAAAGGAATGTGCAAGAAACCTTGAAGAAGAAAATTACAGGACAATCCATGCAAAGGAAAATTTCTTCACAAAAATGGCTCATTTAAGAATGCCTTACAGAGAAAAAAAAAAAGGTATTTCTGGTAATATTATTTGTATAGTAGAATTTGGATTCATGAGTTATAACATTAATTTTTGTATTTTTTTCTCTAGGAGCTCTTTAATGCATATCAAATTTACATTACCAACACTGAAAAAAATATTTATTCAATGTCCAGAATACATTTTCTTATTAAATTTATTTTAAAATGTTCAGTTCATAATGGATATTAATTTCCTTTGTTTATGGGCTTGAATTTAAACTTCATCATACAATTTATCCCTCAGTTTAATTTTATATTTATCCCTCAAGTAATGTCTTCTTGTAACTTCATATTGCATTATATAATCCTACTGTTCATTAATTTCTAATATATACATTCCATTAATAACAAATCCTTATGTTTGTAAATGCATTATTATTATTCAGTATTCCAGATCAAAGAATCCCTTATTTAATAAATCATAACAATGTTCTGACAAAGGCTTTCTTAATGCACCTTACTGTATTTGCTATTTTTAGTACAGAAAGCAAGATTTGAGTCTTTTCTCAGGGAAAAGTGAGAATGGGAGGAAGGAATCAGTGCTGTTCAACCTAGATTGTATATTGTGCTTATCAACATTGTGTCTGTAGCATTGGCTGCAGATAATAGCAGCTGCATTTTGATTTATATCAATGTTTAAAAGAACTGAAATGGCCACTGATTGATTTAAGGGAAGGCACAGATAGATAAGCCATTTATCATGGCTGTAAACCTTATATTGCTGAAGGAACATGGAAGCAATTTTGCTGTTTTTCCAAAATCAAGACTATTCTTATGGTCAATGTACTGTGGCATAATGAGTTACTGTGCATTAGCATGCAACAAGTACACTTAAATCTCAGTGAGGATAGGTAAATCCAACCACACATGCCTCTCACCAGCAGTGTGAAGGATTTTCTTGCTATATTTTTTCACCACTCCATCCTGGAGATTTTCCAGTGAAAGGAGAAGACCTGAGATTGTGTTATCCTCAAAGTGACTACAGATACTCTAAAGATATCGGCATGTCTATTCTGCCCCGCTTGTGGTGATTTAGAAGATGAAAATTAAGAAGATTATCACAGGAAAGCATAGATAACAGCACCAGTATTTTGGGATGTTTCTTCATTCTTCTTTTTTTTTTTTTTTCTTTTTTTTTAATATAGTTTTTGATTCTGAGCAAGATATTGTGTTGAAGTACCAGATAGGAGAGAAGCTATGAGCATCTCAGTAAAGACCATGAAATCTGGAAATCTCCCCAGAAAATCCATTCCTATATCCTTTTCAGAGAGACTTTGACTATATATGTTGGAGACTTTGCATAAACAGTACCTCAAATGTGCCCATTTCTATATGGTATTTTTGACAAGTACTTTGAAATTATACAAATTCAGATGAATTACAGGTGCTATTACTTGTGCTCGATGTCCAAGGGGTTAAATCATATTTTAAAAGTGCCTCTGTTTTCTTGCAATTACCCGAATTTCCCCTATGCTGTATTTTATTTTTATTGTCTATAGGAAGAGCACTTCCTTTTTTCTGTCAATGGCTTTTGGAGGAGGACACTTAACACTCGCATTAATAGCTTGCAGCTTGGAGAAATTTTCTCATCCCAAGGGCACTGGATATTACAACAATTGACACAGAGGTGCTAGCATCAGCAACATTGCGCTTCTCACTTTCACTGCTAGTGGCATTGATGGCCAGCTTAGAGGGGGCTAGAGAATATCAAGTGAGGAGTCTGGGGACTGAAGTGGCAGCTTTTCTTCTTTTTTATTTTAGATTTATGCATTTTAAGTCACTCCTCATTGATGTCTGGGAGAGACTCCTAGCAGAAAAATACACAAGAGAAAAAGTAAAATTGTGGAATGCAGCAAACGACTTCCTGGTGGTGACAAGGTCAGTTCAATAAATAATTAATTAAATAATGCAAGTGCCATTTTTGTTTCCCGTTCCAAGCTTTAACAATGAATTTACTATGCTCAGGAATGTGTCTTCATAGAACAAGCGATGAATGTTTCTAATTTGTTTCTCTTTATTCTTTATAGAAAGCAGGAATAGTCACTAATGAAGTTATTTTTGAGTCTCCAGTAAGGAAAGATCAACCAGAATTTGCTTCTGTCTGTTTTTCTCTCTTTCTTTATATACCAAAACTTTAAAAAAATTGTCACAGGTGACAGATGGCAGTGATAGTTTCACCTGTAGGCCAGATGGACTAGAGGCCTGAGGCCACATAAATTAGGACAGCATAGAGTAGTCAAAAAGGGAAAAGTGAGTGACTCAAGCATAAAGTCAGCTTTGTAAAATTCAACTCCCCGTCATCTGGGGTGAGTGATTTTTTTTTTTTTTCTCCTTAATGGGTGGTAGATTATCTTCAAAGCTTCTGGGTTTTGCCACAGTAACTGAAAGCAGGGATAGTGTGACACGTTTTCCATCACTGAAACATGTGATGCAGATTTCCAGTTAGGAAAAGTGGGTTCTGTTCTTTAAATACATATTTTGTTATTTATTTTTGTTTAAATACATAATTTACTTAATATAATTTTGTTTAAATACATAATTTCTTTATCAGCTAATCATATGCATGATTTAATGTCCTGTGGTGCAAGACAGTATAACCCATATTAAAATATTGCTTATTCTAATGATCAAAGAAGAAAAAGATGAGCATGAAAGTAATGGCTCTAGCTCCCCTTACTCTTGCTTGCTGGTGTTGTGTGTTTGGTACCAACCAGAAAATGATTTTGGTCAGACTCCCGAGTTTGGCAGTGTCAAGGTGGGCTGCCATTTTCACTCTCAGACCATGGTAGAAATGATGGACATCTGTGGTTGCAACCTTACCACAGTGTCAGCAGTGCAGGAGTACTGTAGTCTTGGACTCAGAGGGCAGAGGACTTGTGGCAACATATAGGACTTCTGGAGCTAAAGGAAGGACGTGTCATGGCTTGAGAAAAAGCGTGAAAATCTAGGTATGTTGTGATGCAGATATTCACTGCTGGGCTACAAAAATATCTAGAGAATTAACGACAAATATTTTCAAGTTTTCAATAGATGGAATAGAGATTAAGACAATTTTTATTTCTCCTCTGGGTGACAAAGTGTTATTTGATCAGCAAGCTATTTTCTTCATAGTAATTTAATTTAAAATAATATGGAAGAAAATAACTCTCTTTAATTCTGGTTATTAATTAATATCCAGTACTGGGTATTGCTTAGAGTTTTTTGGTATATTGGCTTTTCTGAAGTGAGGTATAAGATGGATATACAGTAGTTTGGGATATTTTTTTTCTGTTTACTGTAAAAATTCATACATGAGCCAAATTTTTATGTGGCTGCAACTTCAGGAGAGAAACGTGTTGTGCATATTGATGGGTGGATCAGCAACCATTAGTGCCACTAGCAATAAACTGCCATGAGAAGAAGCTCACTTAAACTGTCAGCATGCTGGCAATGGAGAGCCTTTATTTTGCAAGAAAAAGTTTTCCAAACTTGCTTTTCAGATCAGCAATCCCTTAAAATGTTGTGAAAGCCTTTTTAGCATTCCAGAGCTTTTACGTTTGTGCTATTCAGATCAAATAATGCAGTAGATGTTGTTTCCTTTATTCAGGTGATTTGCCTTGGAAATTATGTTGTGTTTCAATTGCCTAACCTGCTTGGAGACAGGTGTTTCTAAGGTTAGCTGCATAATGACACAGCATGGCTTACTCAGGAGTATGGCAAATCTACAAAACAGGACCCTGGAATATCCTAGCAAGTGCCCAGCTCCCCTGCATGTCCTCCCCTGTAGCCAGAAAGGAGGGGAGGGACCTGTGCAGACAGCACTGAGAGATGGCACCACATGAGCCAAAGCAAGCACAAATGTTCTCCAGAGGCCATAGGTGTCACTGAAGGCTCTTGGGCACACTGTGACTCTCTGCAGAGAGAGTGTTTCAGCTATGTCAATTGATGTAAGACAAGTGAAATGGCTTTGCAGATGTTCACAATGCAGCATGAGGGTCCAATTCAACCACTTTCTGAATCAATGTAAAACAGAGCAATTAAAGAACAAGTAGTATCATTATTGTGGTGATCCTGCACTGGTTTGATGTTCTCATAACACTTTGTAATCACAGTACTTATTTACACAGCACACACTGTGAAGCCTGTCGAGTACATTTTTGTGTAATTTTCTTTTTCTTATTTTGTACTATTTTATATACAAGTATTCTGTGACAAAATATACAGCAGCCAGTATAACAAACACCTTGACCACAAGGTAATTTCTGTTGGGGTGGATGTGGTCTACAGGCTCTGAATCATGTTCACTGAGCAGGGAGTTGTAGTGATTGAGGACACGGTGGTCCGGTGGAGTAGAAAAACCTTCTGCTGGAGGTTGTCACAGCAGCTGTGCTGGCTGCCAGGAAGCAACCAACTTACTTTAGCTGGTGCAGTTTGCAAACAAGTGTTTCAGCATCCTTTCAGAGGTAGTTTAGGCTGCTAGAAGCCCTGTGCACTGAAGTGGCTGATGTGGGAACAGGCTGCTTTTTAATGCCTTTGCTTCATGAGTGGTGGCCTTCAACAGAGACAAGGAAACAAACATCTGAGGTTGGTAATGTTTAGAACCACCACAGTGAGTTACCAGCAGTCACCCGTTAGAGATCAAGCCCCCTGCAGACCACAATAGATTGTACTACAGAAGGAAAAAGCTCTTCTGTGGGAAGCTGCATTAAAACCCCCTCATTTTCTAAAGATTTCTTGTGCTGTTTCCAATAAACATTCCTCCACTAGCACTTTCTTAGCTACTTTACATGCTGCAATGCTTGTCTCTCAGCCCTCAGTATCCCCCCACAGTGGTCCTTCTGATCAGATACTATAACTGTGATTGCAAATTCTTTCAGGTAAAAACTGAGAAAAAAATCCATCAGCAGGAAAACATTGTACAGCCTGATTCTTCATCTGGTCTGGTAGCTTGATATCATTATTAGATTTAAAAAAATCTTTTGAAGGGACTTTTTCAATAAGAATGGTGTTTTTAACTAAATGAAGTTAGAAGTGTGAGCTAGCTATTGAGTTCTGAACAATTTGGAGAAAGGAAGCATCCTATGATCATGAAGTCTACACTGGCAAACAGCAGAGGCTTCTAGTGTGTTGCTAAAAATACTGTAGAAAAAAAATAATATTGTTTTTAGTCTTTGACAGAAAAAATTGCATTTTTTTCCAGAGGGAAAAAGGTGTTTCAAACTGTCTCTACCCAGTTTCCCTCTGTTGAAATAAATAAATTTAGGCTGAAACAAAACTAGGAAAATAGATGGGGAAGGATGGGGTTTAATGAAGTATCCTAAACCCATCTAACTCTCGGAAAAATGCAGTGGTGCACCTTATGTAATGCTGTGGTAACTCACTTCAGATATGCAAAAGGAAATAGACTTGAAGCAATTGGTCCCCCTTCTCAGAATTCTATTTTATAGCACACTTACCAGCATGCAATTGTATCCGATTTTCCAGACTTGACTCTTTGGAGACCAAAACTGGAAGATGAGACAGTTTGCATTTTGATCAGGTAAGACTGGTGCAGAAACTGGATTCCAGTACGTATACCACAGACCACTTAGTGAAAAAGTCATTGAAAAGAATAGCTTACTTATTTCTGAATGTCCATGTTTGCATTAAGGTCAAGAATAACTTCGATTTATTTCCATTTATGTAGATGTAGCTGTTCAATCTTCCAAAAGAATTAGAAAAAGAAGATAAGAGGGAGAGGGAGGGAAAGAGAGGCATAGCAGAGAGAGCATGAAGAAGGTATGTATATGTAACAGAGACATAAATTAAGACTGGATTGAGGCAGATGAAGAAACAAGTACAAGGCAATAATGGTGGAAGAGACAGAAGAGAACTTCCTAAATTAAAGCAGACAAAAATGTGAAAAAGAAAATCTATGAGGAGAAATTAGAGAATGGTGAGGCATGAAAAAGGAATATGAAAATAAAGATTTCTGTTATAAGTTTCAGATTTAATATGTGTTTTATGCAGCAACTGTCACACTTCAATATTAGCAATTTTTGCTTCTATTACTTTAACTCATAGTCACGGATAGAATGGTAAAGTCTGAAGAGGTGGGAAGGCACAAACCAAAAATGTGTCTGTCCTACAGTAATTGTAATCTGAAGTTAAAACAAATAACAATATATGATACAGACGAAAGAAGAACACAAGGAAATGTTTAGACAGCAGTAACTGAATGTGTTAAACAGACCTAACTCATGTTCAGGTGTGTTTCTAAATATGAGACAATGGAAGGATTTAAGTGGGAGTTTGAAGGACAACAATTAAGTAGATTTGGATACAGTTATTGGAAGGTCTTCTCAAGCATAAAGAGCGATAAGGAAGGAAGACCTTTGGTGTAAAAGTTAAGAGGCAGTTGTGACTGAGTGCCTAGTAGTTCACAACTCATAGTAAACCAGCAATGCATTTTGATAGTTTCAAGAAAGTGAGGTGGAGAATGACTTTGAAAATGGAGATGACTAAATTGTGTTTGAGTCTGAAGAGAAGAACATGCTAGTGGAGAAAGGGGTGAAAGGGCAGAAGAATTAGGTTGAAATTTGATTTTTGCAGTGCTGATCTTAATGGGCATGAGCAGCAAAAAACTGCATTCATCGAGACCACAGAAGCAGACAACAGAAAGAAGAACCAAAGAAACAGACTCCATTAACAGAAATATGGAATGACGAGGGTTTGGGGAAGACTTTCAATTAGGTGGTTGGATGAGATCTGCATTGAATGTTTTTATATAGAAAGAATTATTTAGATGTAGCCTTGGAACCAAAGAAAGATCTAAGGATGGTTCTCTGTTTATGGTCCTGAATAAGAGATGAAAAGGACCATATCAGAAGGGGGACTATTGGAAGTGATTTATGAAGAACATAACACATCTTAGCACAAGATGGATTAATTGGAAATGTCTTTAATGAAGTGACCGGAAGAAAACATGTTCACAATTTCGTTGCTGTTTGGGCACCCGAGATAGTAACAGATGGTAGGAGCAGAAGTTGTATCTTCTGAGGACTGTGTAGGGACTTGCTGAAGCAGACACTGAAATTCAGATCTATTTTTCATGGAAGAAACTGCAGAAAAAGACTCTTAGTCCCAGGAATCCTGTTCCACTATTTTATCATCAGAAGAGTGACATGACTAAAGCTTTATCAAAGAAGCTACAGATTTTTCCTAGCAAATGAGTCTCAGAACCACAGACAGACATGAAGTGATTTTAAGAACTGGGCTGAAATATGCTCTGTTGGATATTTCTGACAGCCCTAAAAGGCATTAAACATCTCTCTGTGGTGTGCAGTGAAGTCTCCTGGAATATCATCAGCAAATTGATTTTCTTGTGATTATTAGGGTGTGTCAGGGGTTTCAAGGTAGAGAAATGTTTCAGCCTATTTTGGCAAAATGTTCTCCAGCCAGTATTTGGGGGCTTTATGTGGGCATTCCTGCAACTAGCAGGATTGAAATGAAAATTCAGGTGTAGAAAAATGTGCTATACATAGGCGACTACGCTAGGGCAGTGAAGAACAAAATGTAATATCTGATAGAGGTAGAAGAATGAAAAGTGACTCTTTATAAACTTGTGCTTGTTTCTAGACATTTAAAATTATTTTACTCTTTCTTGGCTGCCATTCTAAATACCAAAGTAAATTTTAAATTGCAAAGATCTGTGTATTAAAAAAAAAAAAAAAAAAAAAAAAATTATTTTTTTTTTAATAAAATTTGGTGAACAGTTATACTGAAAAAGTTCAAATATACTTGACCATCTTCTGTGAAGAAAACTGAAGATTTTGTTCTGAAAACTTATAGCTGGCCTTTTTCATTCGTCAAACATATATTCCTATGTATTGTGTGTATGGGAACTGAATGTAATGATGACACTAAGCGACTGCTACTTCAGTTAAATGTAATGTTCACTTAAAGTAGATAATTATCAACTGTTTTCTAGATGCTGCTACAAGTTTTATTATACATTGTCACAATGATTTTCTTTCCCTGTTTTTCACTGTTTTTCTAAAAACATTTATTCAGAAGTGACATTTTTTACACCTTGTGCAACTATTTTATGTCATCATGTGGTTGGAAAATAGAGGAAGACAGGTATGAATTGATCATCCTGAACAATTCTGATGTTCAGTACAAAATATAGGTATTACAGGTGTGCAAATTCTGCACATTTTTAAAAAGTATGGGCTATACAGTTGTGTCTTGGATCTTAAAAGAAACATTTGCCTTGGATCTGCGAGTCTTCCTTTTGTATTTGTTTTCAATAGACTTTCAAGTACTGAAATTTCTGTGTGTGGAACAGTCCAGAATTGGTACATCACATGCCTGAGTATTCACAGGTGGAGAGGTACATATTTATAGAATAAGCTTGTCAAGACAGTGGGAGAACAGGCTGCTCAGGATAAGTTATTAAATCCAATCACTGGCACTGTTGTAACAGCTGGATGAAATCCCTTTAGGCACTTGACCGACAAAAAATTTTTTTAACGAAGTCACCAAGTTAACGTAGCATCTTAACACTCACAGACCTTTTTCTTGACTTTGTTCTGATTATGTACATGTGTATCCATGCACACAGAAGTGCAGTCCTCCTCTCATTCTTCTGGCTTTTTCAGGTGCACAGCTGTGAGCTGAGCAAAGTCTAGAGCAAAGGAATTCAGAGGTGCAGTTATTGCAGCTTCCTAGAACAAATGACTTTCAGGTAACCAAATAGGCCCTGGTTCTTGTGTACAGATTTTGATCAGTGGTAATTTTTGTTTCCAGTCTCAAGATTCTGAGGTCAATTCTTCCAGACACTGTTGGTCTCTAGAGGAACAAAAAAATTTATGACCCAAAACCCAGTCTCCAGTTTGTTGCATGTATAAACAGACCACTGACAAATCAGGTAATGATTCTTTTTTCCTTCCCTGATAAAGCCATATCATTGTATTGCATGAAAGAGAAAATAAAGTAAATGTATTATCTGTCTTTATTACTCATTACCTTATTTACTGCTTATAATTTACATGATTATGTCTAGATAAATTAAATTTGTTAAAATGAGTGATTAAAACAGAAAGTTAAGTGAACCAGCTGAAGGGGAGAAATCACTGTTAATGAAGGAAGATAAGAGAATGCACCGAATAATTACTTTCCTTGCCCCTTATTTTTCTTTCTGCTATTGTCAATACCTTACTTAAATATTCTTGAAGATCATTGTTTTTAAATTGAATAAGGAAACAGAAGTGGTAGCCGGTTCTGTGATTAATCATTTGTACTTTTTTGTGAAATCTTGGTGTGTAAAACGGCAACACAAATAAAAAAAATGGCTGCAATAAAACCAACGAAACTCTTGTCATAAAGAGGTTGAGAGCATTTAGGACCTGAATTATTTGCAAAACTTCATTAATTTTGCCTTTATTTCCCCAGTATTAACAGATACATGAACTGTCCTCTTTGGCTACTACAACGATACTTTTGAAACCTCAGGTTAAGACTCCCTCACAAGAGTTTGTGGGGAACTGTCTCATTTCTTCTTTGGCTCAGAATTCCCTTCTGCATTTAAAGAGAGCGACTCATGTAGCCTTTGTCAATTTTTATTCCTAAATCCTCTATTCCACACTTGGCACCTACTATACTGATGTATTTGTCATGGACAAGTATAAGGAAAGTCTTTTTCATTACTAGGTTTGCAGATGTTTGCAGCAAATCTCAAGATTTCGATCCATTTGCCTTCCTGGCATTGCAGCTCCATACACATTTCTCTTTCTTAAAGGGCTTTCTCTTGCTAATTTTAAACAACACTTTCTGATACTTTAAGTGTATCTGCAAAGCTCTAATGTTACTGGAATTTAAAAGTCCTTTGAAGACTGCTGCTCATTCTTCTGTTGTCCAGGAGATATTTATGTATGCATATTCTTAGCTTTGGAAAGCCATTACAGAATTTGTGTGTTGAGTTTGAGTATGGTGGGGTTTGCTAGTGGGGGAGTGGGCTAGAACAGTGGCTCTTGTGAGATGATTCTCAAAGCTCCCCCAGCTCAGACCAGCCTCTGGCCAAGGCTGAGATAATCAGTGAGAGTAGCTGTGCCTCTGTGATAATGTATTTAAGGAGAACTTGAGAGGAGCAGCAGTTGTGATGGGACACCTATGCAAACATTGAGGTCAGTGGAGGAAAGGAGGAGGGGGGAAGGTGTGCTGGAGCAGAGACTACCCTGCAGCCTGTGGTGAGAGGGCAGGCCATGCCCCTGTAACCCATGGAGGTCACCAGTGGAGCAGATGCTGACCTGCAGTCTGTGGAGGACCCCATGTCAGAGCAGGTGAGTGCGCCTGAAGGAGGCTGGGACTTGGAGGGCAGCCTGTGCTGGAACTATTCGTCACTGGGAGGACTGCAACACACAAGAGGGACCCATGCTGGAGCAGTTTGGGAAGAGCTGCAGCCCATGGAAAGGAGTAGTGTCAAAGAAAGTTCATGGAGGACTGTCTCCTGTGGGAGGGACCCTGTACTGGAGCAGGCAAAGAGTGTGAGGAGTCCTTCTGAGGAGGAAGGAGTGGCAGAGACAGCAGGTGGTGAACTGATTGCAACCCCCATGCCCTGCCCCCTGTGCCATTTGCAGGGAGGAGGGAAAAGAAATCTGGAGCAAAACTGAGCCCAAGAAGAAGGCAGGGATTCAAGGAAGGTAGGGTTTTTAAAGATGTGGTTGTATTTCTCACTCTCCTACTCTTCTTGATTGGTAAATTAAGTGGTGGTGGTGGAGGTGTTCAAATTAAATGGAAGTTCCTGTTTTCTACCCATAAGGTGTCTGTCTTTTGCCTGTGATCATAATGGATGAGTCATCCCTCCTTATCTTTTTGTCCATTCCCAAGCCTTTTATTTTAATATTTTCTCTTCCCAGTTCCCGAGGGGGAAGGAGTGAGCTGCATGGTGGTCAATTGCCCTCTGGGCTTAAACCAGGACATATTGTAAGCAGATACTCGTGAGTCTGACTGTGTGGCCTCTCCTGAAACACCAAATAGAAAATACCAGGTGAAAGGTAAGAAAATGTGGTTTTAAGCACTGCAAGTACCAACTCAGACTGTAGGCTAGTTCACACCTTAATAGGAAATAATATTCTGAATATATGCACTATGCACAGGGTTCCAAAGTGTCTAAAAGAGCGTACTGAGTGACCCATCTATTGCACAGATAGTCACGGACAGAG